CAGGTCCCCTATTTTCTCTCTTCTCCATTTTTTCCAGCCCCTGGTGGCTTTCTGCCATGTACCCCCACCAGGCACCTCACTCATCACCCTGGTCTTCCTAGTGGCCTCCATCCCAGGAGGAGCAGGGAGTTCGCATGTGGTGCTTTGCCTTGGCTTGGTCCCTGCCATGAGCTGCCTTCCTGCACTGCCCCAGAGTCGCTGAATGATGTCCCTGGGGTGATGGAAGTGTGCAGAGAGCTCACTTTTCCCCTGAGTGCCTAGTGGCAGGACAGTTTTGCTAAATGTGGTGCCCGTGGCCCATCTCTAGTCTCCATTCCTGTGGGCTGTAAGGGCAGGAGATGATTGTGGTTGTGCTGAATGGACCAAGGAGGAGCGGGAAATGTGGAAAACTCAGGAAACTGTTGGAATCTGAGCAGGGCTGGCATTTTTGATTTTTGCCTTTTGAAGTAAATGTAAAATGCTCATTTTCAGTGGAGTTCCTGGCATTGTGATTGAGCCTTGATGCCTCTCCAGATGGGTTCATTGTGCTCCCAGAGTTACAGCTTTGTGCACCCTCCTTTAAAACTAGAGTTAGTTTATAACAGGGTTGATCCTACACTGGCTTAATCAGCTACATGAACATTGAATTTTTGGATCTAATCTGTTTTTGTGTGCCCTGTGCTAGTACATTGGGGCAGTTTACTGCAAGGACAGAGAAGCATGTTAACTGGCCTCGGTAAGTGGAGTTTGAGCCTTCAATCAGTGAATTTTCTCCATTGTGGCTGTCCTTGGTGCTCTGCATGAGACAGTCCTGTTCGAGGGGACCATGACACCATTTGTGCTTTATTTTGGTGGAAACTTTGTCATTTCAGAAGGGGACATACCTGCCTCAGACATACATAATCCAGGAAGAGATGATCGCGACCGAGCACGTCAGTGACATAGAGCAACTCGGCTCCTTCATCTACCGCCTCTGCAGCGGCAAGGAGACCTACAGGCTGAAGCGGAGGAGTGCGAGAAGACGTAAGAGCCTTGCTGTGTTCAGCTGTCCTAACTCGCTTTACCCCTGCATCACAGTCATTATTTTTGCTGTTACAGCCATGCTGGCCTCTTGATGGCAAGAGGGGAGGATTCCCTGTGGGTGTAAGCGCACATGAGATTTTTTGAGCTGTTTCCTATTCATCTAAACCCAAATCTGGAATGATGCTGCTGCAAATGGATGCTGGGTCCTGTGTCTCTGTCGTCTATCAGCCTGATAGAAACACCAAGAAAATGGTTGTGGGAGCCAGCAGTTCATTTACATGTGGGCTCCTGGGGCTGAACTCATAGCAGTGCTGTTGGGAACTGTTTGGAAAATTTCCCTAATGGAGAAACCCACTTCATTGGCAGCTATTCAGAACAGATTAGATCTGCAAATTGCCTTTAATTAATTAAGTTTCTAATAATATGGAAAAAATTGTGAAGAGGGAACATTGGACTACCCTAAAATGATTTAATGAAAATCAGTAATAGGCATCTTAAATACAAATGGTAATATTGCTGCAAAAAACTCCTTAATTTCAGTATTTGTATTTATTTGTTTTTTTGATACTGGTGTACTTAAAAGGCTCACCTGAATCCTGAACCTACAGTCAATTTGGGTTTGGATCTGTGGGGAAGCTTCAGCGTGAGAGCGTTCGGGTGCAGAAGTCACCATGGCTGTAGCTCATGGTTGCTTTCCCAACAGGAACTGCACAATTACACATGGGGCTGCTGGCACGCTGGCTGCTGCTCTCGTGGAGCCCTGGCACGGTCCTGTTTGTCGGCAGGGCACCAGTGGGTTTGCTGTCAGAGGGGTGTGGCTGCGTGGCAGAGCTGCCCAGAGTTGATGACCTGCAGTTTAAGGATGTGGGGAGCATTACTTGTTTCCCAGAGAGGCTGAGGCCATAGCACAATCAGTGCATGTGGGGATACAAATAACCAGAGGGGTGGTGATTTAAGCCCTCCTTGTTTGCATTCAGAGCTGTGCTCTGTAACAGCCTGTGACTTCTGCTAGTTTCATGGGGCTTTCTGGTCTCCAAGATAACAGTGAGATGCTGTCAGCTGAAACTAGCTGTTCCAGGTGGCTCCCCCAGCTCATGGCAGCTCTTACTGCAGGACTATGGCCTAGAGAATATAGCTGTTCTTCCAAAAAACAGGCTGTGCTGCTTTTCACATGGGCTGTGTCGCTCCTGCATTTCAGTGTTCAGTGCTTGCACCTCAACTAGTCTTCTTCCCCTACTTGCTGCAGCTCTTGTAGATTATAATTTACTGAATTTCTTCTCTCCTCTCTTTGAATCACTTCTAGGTATTAGTCGACGTGAGGCTGGAAACTGTCATCGTATTCGTCACTTTGAAAACACTTTTGTGGTCGAAACTGTTATCTGCAAAAAGTCATGAAGCCACTCTCCAGATGTAACCTTCCTTGGCTTTGCTTGCACACACATGCACACACATGCTCTCAGCCCTCTCTTTAGACATGGTAATCTGTCTAACATTTTTTACTCCCTCCCCTGCTTGTGCAGCTCTAACCTCTTGGGTCCATTGTGGCCTCACAGTAGATTCTCTTCTCTCCCTGCTACCTACCTGAGACATTTTCTGGGCTTAAATTTACACAGTGGTCAAAGATAACCCAGGAGTAGATACAGATTCTTCCACACCACAGGATGGGAATTTCTTTTAGGAGCAGGTTTGGGGCCGAGAAGTGGGTGCTCTTTTCCTGGCTGAGCAATTTCAGACTGGTTTAGTGCTTTGAAACTGTCTTGGCTCCAGATCAGAAGGTGTATGTACAAGAGGAGGGTTACCATTTTGATGCTGATGTAATGACCAGAAATACGTAACCTATTAATAGAATAATACTGTTCTTTTCCTAAGTGCATCTCATGTAGGAAAAGAATAGTTGTGAGGCTACAGACAGGGTTATTCAGAAAGCTCAGCAGAGGGAGGATTTCTGTCCAAACCGTGCTGTGGTGGTGGTCCCAGCTTGGTGAGGACCAGATTTTGAAACACTGAAAGCCACCACTGTGTGTTGTTTTTACAACTGGCTCCTGGACTTACCCCTCACCATGTCTCTTTCCGAAAGCGGCACAGCTCAGCATGACCCACTGAGCAATGCGAGGTATCCTAATGGGTGTTCAGGGTGGGCAAGAGACCAGGACAGTGGGCAGCGAGGTGGGCTGGGAATGGCACAAATGACACAGCATGTCCCTGCTCCCTGACCACAAAGCAGAGGGTGAAGTACAAGGCTGCATAGCCTTTTCTCTAACACACAGTTGCATCTGCTGTGGATCCTGGGTAGATCTGCTGTCACTTTGCCCGAGTCAATAAAGAGGTGAATCTTTGATGCAAGTTGCCAAAGCTCTGCTGATGTCCCATCTATAGGCTGTGGCTGCAGGTGGAACCAGGTGGTTTACTCCAGCCCCATGTCTGTCCTAACCAGCACTGCTTGCCTGGAAAGATGAGTTATGTTCACACAGATCTTTCTTCCTGAGTTGTTGAGATCCCATCTGTGTGCTGATGGGGTGCCATGCCTACGTACAAAATGGCATCAGCAGCAGAACTGGTACTTACTGGCAAATGAAGAAGCAGGATTCTTAAATACTTTTTTTAACAGAGTATGTATTCTTGTATAACTCCTCTGATGAAAGCTGTTTTGATAGTAATTTCTGTTGTCCAGCCGTGTATCACATTATCTGCAGGCACCGTTGTAGGATAGATATTGATAGAAGGCAAGATTCAGCTGATCAATATACTGCAGAGAAACTGTGTGAACAAAGCGGC